GTGTCTTACTCCTTCCGGCCACAGAATGGGTCGGGGGCAGTCGTCCGAAAAATGATAAGGACCCGGGTCGAAAGACGGCGGCATAAAATGTATTGCCAACATTACATTTCTAAAAATTATATTATACAATATTTTTTTTGCTTGCGGGGTTAGTCTGTTTTACCGGTATGATAATTATTATATTATTTGATAATAATTATATTTAATTAAACTATATACCACTAACCGAAACGGTATACGGTATAGCTATTGCTGATATCCCGATATTGATAACAACTGATAACAGCGAACCTGATGAGAACAAAAAAAAAAATTAAATAAAAAATAAAAAATTCGGTTTCATACCAATAGTGATTTTTCAAAAAATGAAGAGCAAGAAATTTTGTCTTCTATAAAATAAAACCCTGTTTAACCTGGTCATCATAATAATAATATATTCATATTTTAATACTCTTAACTTTATAATTTCATATTATAATTTAGAATACAGCTATTTAATAAGTACTCACGATTTCTAGTAATATTATTATTTTTTTTTTAATTAATTGCAGTTTTAAAATTTATATTTTTAAAATATCAATGAGGGTCTAAGTGTTTTAAAAACCAAAAATGTCGAATATCAACATTTTAGAAAATGTTATGTTGTGCATCAGAAATATTATGTAAGAAATTAAATACCTAATGAAGTTATTGGAAAAAAATTTTCTTTAATGGCCGATGAAAGCACAAATGTTAACAATAAATCTGAATTATCTATATGTATTCGTTTTGTTAAAAATAATCAACCAGTTGAATAATTTCTTGGTATTAGAGATTTATCTGATACTAAAGCCCATACAATTGTCAACGAAATAAGTTCTGAATTAACAAAACACAATCTGTCATACCAAAATATTATTGCATGTGGTTTTGATGGGGCTGCAAACATGTCGGGAAATAAAAGTGGAGTTCGTAGACTTATTAGTGAAAAAGCTGGAAGGGAAGTTCCTTACATACATTGTCGAGCACATGTATTATCACTTGCACTAACTAGTATAAAAATTTAAAAATTAATAATTTGTTTTATAACTTTTTGAATATTTATAATTTCTGAATTGCAATAAATAATAATAATAGATAATACGATTTATAATGTGTGACAACCTTATAGATTGATTTAAAAATTAAAATAAAATAATTTGTTTGTAGTTTTATCTAAACTTGAAATGTCTAAATTATAAATTGTAATAAGAATAACTACCTATTAATAGATATAATTCATAATACTAAAATGACGTATCACCCTTCACCAATGAAAAAAAAGTGAGCCCCCCAGAAAAATGTTCTGGATTCAACACTGTTAGGGAACACTGAATTTCTCGGCTGGATTATGTTGGAATAAATCGAATTTTTTTTTATAAGCTTGTGGTATATAAATACACGTTTTCAGATAAATTTCAAATTTTTAAACCCTTCGGTACGCGCATGCGCAATGCAACTTACTTTTTTTTAATAGCAACAGGTAGTTTTGATATCAAATTCGGATAGACTGAATTTTTTTAAGTCAATTTGACCAGTTGACCATGGCTCTAAAACCAAAATTGACTGAATGAGAGCCATTCAAATTTCAATAAATAATACATTTTTACAATTCACTATAAAATGCATAAAACCATTTATAATTATTTATTATTGGTTACTTTTTGAATATCTTTACGTATTTTTTTTTTATATACGTGTTATAAATAAGATGGACGCCTATAAAATTCCGGAAATATAACGGCAGGAGAGTAATAATTGAGGAACTCAAATTCCCGACTATAAAACTAATAGAAATTAATATGTTAAGAATACAAAATGAATTGAAATCTAAGTTTACAGAATGTAATCTTGAGGAAAAAAAGTAAGACGGAACAAAAATTAATTGGAATTAAATATCGATGAACGTAAAACGCCCGGAAACCAAAATTCAGGGATGCCAATAAAATCCCGGAAAAAAATTCGCCGGAATTATGAAATCACAGAACGTAATGTAATCGTATTATTGAATTGAAAGAATTAAAAATATATTGAAAACAAAATTCCAGACCGTAAAATACACGGAATTAATATATATTGACTGTAATTTGTTTGGAACTTAAAACTAATGAACAAAATAAAAAAGGATAATTAAATTGATGAATTCAAAATCCGGACTGTAAAATTACTTGTGCATAATTTGTTTATAATACGAAACGAATGAGAAATTTTAGTTTACGGAACGTTATAACGAAAGAAAGTAATAAGGTGGAACGTAAATTTATCGGAATTAAATAACACTGACCGTAAAACGTCCGGAATGTAAACTTCCAGAAAAATATAGAATATTTTATTTTCTGACCGGTGGGAGGGGGGTGGGTCTAACCAGGTTTCTGTCCGAAAATTGGATCTATATAGTTTGTCGTTTTACTTTTGTAGGGTAAAAAGTAGAAATTCAAATTTTCCTGTACTTTTTAAAGTAATCACAGTTTTTTTTTGTAATTAAAAAATGAATAGCCGTTATAAACTTTTAGTTTACGCCCAATATTTTGGGTTTTTTATTTATAGACATTTAAAACCAATTTTTTTTTTTAAATATTTAATATTGTTTTATAATTATATTATATATAGATTAATTAATTTAATTAAACATTATAAATTATAATATTGTTACCTAATCAAAAAGTTTGAAGTATAATATTATAATATTTCTCATAAGTTGTAGGTACGACAGCCAGGGGTGGATACTGGATAGGTAGTATTTTTGTTACAGGGAAATATTTTAAGGGCCCCCAAACTAAAAAAAAAATGTCCTCGCTTCGCTCGCATTACCTACATATCTTATACAACAACTTTACTTACAATTTTACTTACAAGGTTACTTGTAGGCAACTTACCCAGGTTACTACTTACTACTTACAAGTTTAAAAATGAAAACAAGTTGGGGGGGGGGCTGTAGAAATGTTTCTACAGCCCCTCCTCATCTGGATTTTAAGTTTTAAGGACTTTTTACTGTCTCACAATTTAGCGTGCAATTGACGTGAATTTTCGTGACCTATTTCGAAATCATAAACCCAAAACTCCGAATACCGTGGGCCTTGCCCCTTTATTTCCATTTCCCCAGCCCCCTCAAACGACACGCAAATTCACGCCAATCGCACTCTAAATATTGGAGTTCAAATGATTACCACCGTTCCCACTACATGGCAAGTATACACAAGTGACGAATATTTGGCAAGTACACCAGTACCGGCTTTATACTATTATAGTGAATAGTGATTATTATTATTTATTTATTACTTATTTGGAATATAACTAGGAAGTTTATATTTTCTATGAAATGACAACGATTAAGATGTATGTTACATTATTACTACTTAATAATGTATTGTGTACATTGATAGGTAGGTAATAACTAAAGGCGGGATCCCACGACTCGTGTATTTGACGAATATTTGGTATTCGTGGATACTCGCCAAGTAGTGGGAATGGAGTACTTGTACGAATACTCGGTATTCGGTATTCGTTATTCGTTATTCGCCACCTTCCCATCGATTGTCGGTAAAAGTGACACGAGTCAAAGAGAATTTAATTACCAAAATAGATGTTCGTTGGTACATTCCCACGACACGACGAATATTTGCCATTCGGTTGTTTTTTGTTATCACTTATCAGTTATCAGCCATATTATCAAATTAATTAATTGTAATTTGGTACTTTGTTAACAGTCATAAGCATAACTCATAAAAATAATATTATACTAATTTAATTTCAACAGTCAACTTGAATGATTCAACGTTTTTTATATTTTATTAGGTGATCAACAGTTTTAAAATATAAATAATATAATACTACCTGTAAAATAAAAATGTGTAGTATAATGGAATGGTCAAATGAAATGAGTCTAGAGTTTTTGAAGCTGTATGAACAAGAGCCATCGATTTGGAACCCTAAAAATCCAGATCACAAAAACCGTAATTTGGTTAATGACGCATGGGTAAGGATAAACAACACACTCAGTTTTTCATCCACTATTCAAGAGCTTAAAAAAAAAAAAGACTCTTTGATGGCTAGTTTTAGACCATTATTGAGCAAGGTGAAAAGTAGCATGAAAACAGGAAGTGGCGTAGATGATGTTTATAAGCCTAACTGGTTTGCTTTTGAAACAATGGCCAAATTCTTGGTTAGTGTATATCAGCCAAGACCTACAATAAGTACACAAGTAAGCTTTATTATAATATCTTATTACTATTACATACATAAGCATGTACAGGCATTAGTACAGACACAGACCTACATTACTACCCCAGTATAAATATTCACGTTTAAACTAAATTACAAGTACCTATACATTTCAGTTCTGACAACTAAAGAGTTGGCAAAAGGGTAACATTTTTCCTCGCATTTTTCAAACCACTGGGGGATATGCACTTACTAAATTCAAACTACATAAGATATTCACATACAATTGGACCTACCTGCCTATGATACAATTGTTACCTACTATAATATTAGTCAGTATAGTCACACTCTCATACCAAGCATATACATACATTTATATACTTGGCTAAAGTGCACTTTACCACCCCATGCATATTTTTCGATTTTTTTTTTTGGAACTTATGTAACTCATCGAGTTAAGAACGATGGTGCAATCAGAATTTGTCGCTCTCACTTAGTTTCGAAGTTATGGCCCTTGGAAGTAAGCAATTTTGCGTTTTTTGTACGCATGAGCGCAACGCTACGTGTCACGTCTTTCGCGATTTTTTTTTTCTTATTCGTGAGACTTATTATATTAATGAAATTATTAATGAGTACCTATTACTTATTTTTAAGCCTAGGTTGTGGTTGTTACTTATGGCACAATCATTTAATTTTGGACTTCCAAATATTAGAACACACAATTACTTTTAATAATAAAATTAGTTTATTAATAGGTATTAATTATATAATATAATAATATCTAAATATATGTATCGTTGTCACTTAATTCATCTTCATTATCATTTATCGTCATCACCCTCATTATCATCATTACCCTCATTATCGTCATTATCAACGTATGCGGCCGTAATTGGATTGTAAAGACTACCTGCAATTCTTAAAAACTCGGTGAATGGATCGACATTTAAAGCCTTACATTGTTTTAAAAACATGAACTTAGAAAGATATCCGGCTATAAAGGTTTTTTTTTTATGATATTGGGGAAGTGAATATTTCGCATGTCGCCATAGTCCTTCGATCGTGTTTGTGTGCTGATTGGTATCTGGATCTTTAAAGTTAATGCTGTGGTTAACTTTAAAGTGCTTATAACCTTCATCATTCAAACAATCATATGCCTAAAAAGAGAACCTGATGAAATCATTAATATTCATAATTATTTTTAAAATACATACTTTCCAGCAATCAGAAATTATCGTAGTATTTGGTAGAATCCAATCTTTAATAATTTGAAGTAACGTTTCCTTATCCCTTTTTTCAACGGGAACTAAAAAACATCGATTAGTACCCCGTTCAATACCACCAAATATCCACTGGCCTTCCACATGATGACCTCTGTGGTATTTGCGCTTGCCAAATTTACTTTCGTCAATTTCAACTTCAACGGACTCACCTCCGATTTTAGTTTTTTTTAAAATCATGTGATCAAAAGTAACCTCACGACAAAAATTAGCCCAATCAACTATTGTATGTTTACTTATGCTTAGTTCTTCCATAATGAACGTCTGGTTGGTTTGTTTTATCCATAGATAAGTTAACAAAATAATTTTGGCAATTGACATGTGAGAATTTGAGAAAAATGTGTTTTTCCTTATTGACACCTCGTATTCACATCTACTCGATTTTTTATGCCGATCCATGTATTTTTCACGGCATCTAGAAATAGAATATATTTGATATATATTATATATATACCTAATTACTATAGAATTTGTTCCTATGGTGAATAGTATCATTCAATATGTGTATATCTAATTTACCTCCAAGAATATGCATCTTTGACATGACTTCGTGCTATTAGTTTTAATTTATGCCCTCTAGGACATAAATAGTCCCCTTCTTTAGGAATAAGGAGCCAATTCTGGAGCTGCTCGCCAATTATAGCATTAAGAGGATCACTTAACTCACAGTTAAAAATTTTGAAAATTTTAATTAAATTATATGCTTCCATAATAAATAAAAATGAACAAACACGGGACTAAGAGAGGTTAACTTCACTAGAACGCAGCACTTGACGTAATGACATTTTAATTGTGTATTAAAATATAGTTTCTTTAATAATATAATGTAATCTAAAATCATATTTATAATTGAATTATTATTATAATTAATTATTATCAGGTAGGTAGGTACTTACTATAGGTATAATGTGAAAATTTATTTAAACCAGATTGACTATGTCTACTTCCAGTAGAGGAATATTTTTAACCGGTGACTCGGTACAACAAAAATGCAATTTTGTTAACCCTGTGACCCACTTGGGGAGGTGTTGCATAGCAAATCGGCGGATATTTTCGTTTTTAATTGTCCGAGCGAGCGCAGCGAGCGAGTGACCCCGCTCGATGATTCGGTGCAACAAAAATGCAATTTTCTTAACCCTGTGACCCACTTGGGGAGGTGTTGCATAGCAAATCGGGGGATATTTTCGTTTTTAATTGTCCGAGCGAGCGCAGCGAGCGAGTGACCCCGCTCGATGACTCGGTGCAACAAAAATGCAATTTTCTCAACCCTGTGACCCACTTGGGGAGGTGTTTTATAGCAAATCGGGGGATAAATTATTATTGCACCATCGTTTTAAACAGGTTAGAATACGTAAGTACAGAAAAATAACAAAAATAGTCCTCCGCGCGGCATTATAGTAGTGTTGCGCGCATGCGTATAAACGTAAAATTGAAAACTTTGGAAAGCCATAACTTCGAAACTAAGTGAGAGCGACAAATTCTGATTGCACCATCGTTCTTAACTCGATGAGCTACATAATTTCAAAAAAAAAAAATCGAAAAATTTGCATGGGGTGGTAAAGTGCACTTGTTCCATATACTTACCCATTTTACACAATTACTTGGTTCCTAAGACTAAAACCCTAAAAGTTTTGTTTTTCATTTAATTACATTTTTTGGTCACTTAGGTACTCTGGTACTCATGAGTAAAATAAATATGTTTACTTGAATAATCAGAAATAATTTGTGCAAATAGTAAATAAATATATTAAGGTAATTATAGTGAAACATTATGTAGTTATATTATACTATGTTACTATAGTGTAATAATTAATAATGTTCCAATTTCATGTTACAAATACAAATAGAGGTACAAACAAAAACTAGATAAAACTATTCTTAACTAATAAAAATGCTTTGAATGTAAATAGATATATAGGTATTGATCTAAATTTTATGTAGATAAGTAAGGTAGGTAGTTATACAATTAAGTACAATATATTCTAGAAAAAAAATTGTATTTTATAAAAAATGATTGTCAATTTTAGATTGTAAATGTATAGTGTATTTTTTACTGTATATAATATCTTCTTAAAGGTTATATACCTACAATATAACAATATTTTATTTTAATAATAATTTATTACAATATTGAAAACAATTAAATAACTTGAATTTTAGCAATACTTGTCTTGCCATGGTACTTTACCAACTGTAGTGAAATAATCAGCAAATGCATTTCTTATCCGCTGTGCCTCAGCCCCTGGTCTCCTAGGTACATTACGTAATGGTAATAATGATGTTATATCACCTCGGTCCTGTCTCCACGATCCTGGAATATCTGTTTCAGCAGTTTCCATGTCAAATGTACCTTGGGGAGTATATATTTTTTTAGAGGTGTTACTTTTCCTTAAAAAATTATGAAGTAAAGCACAAGCCAATGCTATATTTGAAACTTTATTGGGTTCAAGCAGCATGGGTTTTCTTAGAACTCTGAATACCGAAGACATAATTCCAAAAACATTCTCTACTACTCGTCTAGCTCTTGAAAGTCGATAATTGAAAGCCCTTTCAGCACGACCTCTCTCATATGTTCCTGAGTATGGTTTCATGATACGAGGACTAAAGGTAAAAGCATCATCTGCCACGAAAACATATGGAGTAGGTATTTCACTCGAAGGAAGCAGTTGATCAGGAGGTAGCATTAGATCATTTTCTTCAATTTTCTTAAATAAAGAAGTATTGCGAAAGACCCCTCCATCACTAATTCTTCCTTGACAACCAATATTTGCATATAAAAAACAATAGTTAGCATCAACCAAAGCCATAAGTACAACACTAAAAGTTCCTTTGTAGTTGATAAATTCAGATCCACTGTGTATAGGTGACTGAATAATTATGTGTTTACCATCTATTGATCCTACACACTGTGGAAAATTCCATTTTTCATCATACTCCTTAGATACTTTTGACCATTCTTCACAATTTGTTGGTATCTAGAACAGTAACATCAAAGTGAATAAACTAAAAAAATTACTACAATACTACCTAAATAATTTTCACAAATTGTTAATTTATATTTTATGTTACTCAAAGAAATTATAAAATGTAGATCAAAAAAAAAAATTGGTTGATTATCTATGAGGTTATTTAGGTACTTTTTAAGAATTATGATTTTCTACCTATTTTTTTTTTTAGAATATAATTTAAATATCCAAAAATTTAATAACAGCTTTTAAAAATGTCCAATATGTTTAATTTAAGAGTTAATATTATTTAGAATTTCAAAATATAAACCAACTTAGTTGTATAACTGACCTTATGTTATAATTATAAACAAAGTTTTTAAAACTGAGAAAAGTGAGTCTGATATTTTAATTTTGTTTAGGAATCAGAAGATATACTAATTCATGGTGAAGATAGTAGTAGTGAAATTGATAAAATTGATATTGATTCAACTGAAGAGAGAAATGATGGTATTACAAATCTTGAGGACAATTCAGAAAATTTAAATTCCCCTCTTGAAGTTTTTAAACGTCCTAGTGGAACAGAAAAAGTATCAAGAAAAAGGAAAGAATTAGCTGAAATGAAATCAATTCAAAGCCGTATGGATGATGCTTATTCAATTATGAAAAAGGTGTGTGAACAACCAAGTGAGGTTGCAGAAACAGATGAATGTATACTATATGCAAATTTACTGGCAGTAAAATTAAGATCATTGGATGAAAACACTCGAGGTATTCTGATGCATGATATAGATAATTTGTATTTTCATGCAAAATATAAGAAACAATCCACTGATCTCACCTCTATTAGTTATCACCAAAAACTTGGTAGTGGTAGCACTAATTCAAATCTTTCTATTAGCCCTACTATTGTTCCTATGCATTCTTCAACACATTTGTTTTCAAGACATCCTTCTCAGTTTTCTCCAGCAAGCTCATATGTGGTTCAACCTTCTCCAGCAAACACATATATAACTCAGCCTTCTCCAAAAATCTCATTTTCATCACAACATTCTCCAACAGATGAATATGAACCATCATCTCATTTAGTACACACATATCAGTCACAACATTCTCCAGCAAACTCATATATATCGCAGCCTTCTCCACAAATATTGAAAACATTACAACATTCTTCAACAGATGAATATGAACCACCATCGCATCCAATCTACACATATCTGTCACAACATTCTCCAACAAATTCACATGTACCTCAAGCTTCTCCAACAAACTCATATGCATCTCAACATTCTCCAGAAAATTCACATGTACCTCAAGCTTCTCCAACAAACTCATATGCATCTCAACATTCTCTACAAGATTAATTTTCATCACATAAAAAATAATTCTTATGAAGTTTGTAATATTAAAATTTGAATTATATTTGTTATCATTTTTATTATATAAGAAGTTAGAATTTTTTTTTTTAAGTTGGATTTTAATTTTTAAATTCTATAATTAATATCAAGGTTGATAATTTATGTTTTCATATTTTTAAAAAAAAGTTATTTTTAGTTTGACAAGGTGTTAAATTTTTTTTATGTTTTTTCTAAAGTGTAGAATATACTTAAATAATTTAAATAATTTTTGAGTTGCTTACCTTTATTTCATATTTAAGTATTTCAATCAATGCAATACAAGTCTCATGTACACATCTTGAAACGGTTTGAGATGATATCTTAAACAGAAAAGACAAACTTTTAAAGCTGTCTCCAGTAGCCAAAAATCTTAATGTTACAGCTAATCTTTCTTGTACTGGTATGGCTTTTCTCATAGTGGTATCAGTCTTCACTATCAATGGGCCTACTTTATTTATGAGGTATTCAAAGTCTGTTGCAGACATTCGACAAAAGTTTTCAAACTTTCCACTAGGTTCTCTTCGTAGATCTTCTAACATATCTGAACCATCATACCTGTGAGTTAGAGATTTTATACTTTTAACAAAACTGTCTTTTGAAACTATTTTAAATTTTTTTTTTTTAGAGTGGTAAATAATATAATTGAGTGGAATATTTGATAATAGCTTTAGTGTGAAAGGTAAGATTAATAACACTCCACCATTAAATATAAGGTCATGAACTCATGACTCATGAGTCATGAGTCATGACAAATACACTTACCTCAATCGACTTTTATTGAGTGAAATCATCCACCATCTTCTCGTTTTACACTTTTTGTTTTTTTTATTGTCCATTATACTTTTTAATTTCTTAAATTCTTCACTCATAAGTAAAAATGATCCGCATACAACTATTTTCTTCTGTTCTAGATTCATTTCACCAAACAGTGAGTAATAAATAAAATAGACTAGAATAAAATAAGATTCCAAATTTGCGAACACAAAAAATTACAAAACGTTTAGTTATTTCCGATTGCAATTTTACGATTGATAAATGTTATCAAAATTAAGTTGTTCATCATTAATCTTTTGTCAAAAGTGGTCACTAGGCGCATGACGATCGCGAATAATTGAGCTTTTGACGAATATGAAACTCATCGTGGGATTGGTCTATTTGGCTATTCGTGTAACTTGCCGGTTATTCGAGTATTCGAGGATATTCGTCAAGTACACGAGTCGTGGGAATGGTCTACTTGGCTATTCGGATAGCTTGCCGATTATTCGAGTATTCGTGGATATTCGTCAAATACACGAGTCGTGGGATCCCGCCTTAATAAATAATAATACAATTTCCAGAACGAACCTAATTAGTAATTTCTGATATGGTGATACTTATGCCGTGTTTTCTACAAACTACACTCTACATTCTTATAATATTATATTTTGATAAATCATATAGTCTTTGCATTTGTTATTAATTTGATTTACTTTATACCAAAACTAGTTATTTTCCTCCGAAGAGATAAAAAAATGTTTATGAGTGGGTAAGACGTAAGTTAAAGGTACCTATTTAAAAAAAATAAAAGTAACTTGACTTTTAACTTTACTTAGTTAATATTTTCATGAAAATTTGTAACTTAACTTATAGTTACTCAAATTCAGTAACTTTATAAAACTAACTTTAACTTAGCTTAGTTATTTTTTATTTTGGGATAACTTAACTTTAACTAGTTAAAAAAATTGGTTAACTTGCCCAGCTTTGCCATTTTGTGAACATAACCTATACGGCTATACCAGATACCTACCTATCACGGACTAAGATATATATATATATATATGTATATCTTAGTCCGTGCTACCTATTATAGTTTCATTATAGGTATTATATATTTAGTTATATTGTATTATTATTTATATTTTATCGTGTGCCTGTGGTTAATATTTATATTAGACATTACAGTCTCGTGGTGTAATCATAATATTTTAACGCGGTGTATTGTTTATACTATAAATTGTATTATGGTGCAATGGGATTTATTAGGTTCCCTGTTTTTTTTATCTAAAAAAGTGCAAACAAAAATGGATTAATTTTTTTGTTTGTACAATTTGGTCAATGTAAATATAAATACGAGCCATCAAGACTGTGTTTCTATTCATCCCTAAAATGTCAAAAGTCAGTATAATTAGTATAATCAATATATTTAAATGATTAATTCATTTTTTTTTAAATAATACCTATAAGATTTATAAAACCTACCTATATTTAAACAGATTATAACAAGAAAAATTACAATTTTTTAAATATTTACACGATAACAAGAACCGATGATTTTTGTAATAAATTATTAGGACTATGATCAGTTGTTGTTTTTCGATGTTTAGCCGTGTTGCTGTAGAAATAAACAGAGCGTTTAGAATTAATCAAATTTCGTACTAATGTGTATTCAGTTTAGTGAATGTTTCAAATTAATAACACGAATATTCGGTGGGGGAGACGTCGAAGTAAATAAGTAATATCTTTCCCGATTTTGTTTCTATTCACACCATATACCTACTTACTATTCTCAACGTTTTACTGTATTATTTATATAATTTTTTAGAATTAATACCCGTTTATTAGAACCTTTTTCATTATAACATTTTTGGGGGCCCTTCTGAAAAAATGCATCCGGGGCTCTTTAAGTACCAGGCCGACACTGGTGAAATGTGTAAACACTAAACATATTAGGTATACGATATGACTGAGGACCATATTTAATATTATAATAATATGTATTTGAATAGTTACCGGTTTGGCTGTTTCTTTATATTATTAAAGTATACCTATATTATGTAGAATACACTTTTTGAAATGTATTAAATTACATAACAAGTCTAATAAATACCTATTTATTTATTTGATTGAGTATTGTTGATACAATTTAAAATTGAATTTTACAAGTAGGTGTGTGCACTTAGAATAACTAGCCATTTATTTTAATTTAATAATTGTATGTACCTATACTTTTATTATTAATCAGTAATCACATATAGGTATTCTGATATATTCACATCACCTATTATAAAAAAATAAATACCTACAATACATCTAATGTATATAATGTCTATGTAATGTATAATTTGAATAACAAGAAATATATTAATAAACATACCTATGTCCTATTATGAGTATTACAAAAAAAAAAAATGTATAATAGGTACATAGGATAATAATATAATAATATTATAATATTATAAGATCTAATCGTTTACTTATTCATATTCTAATTAATTAATACTGCTGTGCTGTTTAATTAAACATTTTTTGAAATTAATTTATAAATAACATAACTATTCACATTACCTATTCTAAAAAAATATAAAAAAATAAATACATATAATACATATAATGTTTATAATATCTATGTAATGTATTATGTGAATAACAAGAAATATATTAATAATATATTAAATAACATTTTAATATATTTAAATATATTAATAACATTGTAACTAACATTTTTTTATTAGTTTAATTAAGATACATAGGTTTATACATTTTCAATTCATATGTATGGTTAAAATGTACAAGTTTTCATAAATGTGTGTACAGATATGGATTTAACCAATGTACATACGCTGAAAAATAACATTTTCACAGCGACACATAGGGCAACTTGCTGCTATTTGAATTTGCAATCGTTTGACACAAACTCCACAAATCCAAGCGTGCCCACATGGAATAACTATATATTTGTCCGGTGTGTCATTTATAGTCCTTGTTAGACAAATCATGCAAAGAAGTGGATTTTATTCATTTCTTCTGGTACATTGTTTTGAATGTCTTCTGGTTGGTTATTCAGAATTTCTTCGCCTGGATTTTCTACATTATTTGGTTCGTCCCTACCAACACGAAGAGCCCAGTTTCTCTGTCTCAGCTCGTAAGAAGATGATAAATGAGAATTCCCAAATTGTTATTTGCCCCAAGTTGTACTGCTCAGTAGCATGTTTAATATTTCTTGAGTTTCGTATGAAATTGGCTCTTAAATTTCGTGTTGGTTGTAAGTTGTTCCCTAATTGACTAACTATTGTATGATATTTTTTGCTCAAATCACTTAAATGACCTGGAAATAAAATAAAATTCACATAGTTAATACATTTTAATAATTTAAATAATGAAGACAAACTAAAGGCCAGTGGTTAGGTATGTAACAAAGTTGTATAGTCAGATATTGTATATTTTTTTTAAACTTATTGGAGGTGTATTTTTTAAAAATATATTGCTTAAAATTGTATATTTTTGAGTAATAATTATTATTTTAAGAATATATTTATAAGATAGTCACTTATATTCACTTTTTTTACAACTTTACCAAAGAAATAAGTAATGAATAACAATAAATGTGTCATACACAAAAAAAAAAAATAATAATTAATTAATTAATATCAAATATATTACTTACCAAGAAAGATCCACAGATTGGGATGTGCCACTGAAATTTTCAACCGCAACGCATTGTGGAAACTTTCCAGATTATTGTTAGTTCTTCTCGGTAGGCCATGCACAGACACAATGTCTGTTCCTACCCTTCGTAACCAGTATCTACATAATACAATAAATTAGTTTAAAAATGAATACTAGTAAACAATCATTTTTTAATCAAATTACATTTAGATTTATAATACTTCATGTTAAATTATAATTTATATTGCTTAACAAATGTTTCAGTACCTCTTTCCTACATTGTAGATACCCGCATTATGATTGTAAAAATATAAACATTAAAATTATATTACACAGATAATATACCCAAAATATAACTTAATACCTTGTATATAATTAATATACAGTAATTAATTAACATTGTTATGTTCACAGTTCACACCCACCGATTATAGTAATCAAAAAGATTGTCCATATGCACACCATGGTTTGTTGCGAAAGCTTTTACTAAAGCAAAACCTCTTTCCATTTCCCTCGCTGGTAACAGAGGCAAAGAAAGTAACATTTTTAAGGAGTCCAATGCCGATTGATTGGAATTTACATGTCGTAGGTAACCTCTTGATCTCATGTTCTTCCATACAGCCTTAAGTTTATAATTTTAACAATAATTTAGTAAAATACATACTATGAAAACACTTATTTTTAAACCTTTGATTTAATTACACATTGAACTACCAATTACCTGGTTATGATGAAACCAACACCCATGTGCTTGGGCTCCAGGAAATTGAGACACCAAAGAATCCCTTAGTGCGGGTTCATAGTCCGTGATGATTGTGCTTGGTGTTAAATTAGGTATTAAATTATTTTTTACAAAAGCCAGAACACAATCATATGAGTCTCGGCATTTAGATTCCATCAATACATATATGATTGGTATAGACTGAAAAACATTAAATCTCACTATATTATATAATATTTAAATTACCATACCTACTGTCAAAAATAATCTTCACTCAAATTTAATACTAGGTAGCTTTTAAATTTCAATGCACTTTGTATACATAGAAAACAAAACAATCTACTTTCTTATACAATAAGTTCGGCAATATACAATAACTTTCCTATACCTATTTAACATAAGACATTCATTAATTTTAAACTTATAACATTTAAAAATGTGCCACTGGGTGACTTCCCCCTCCCGCTAATCATCCCCATCCCATTTACTTATTGTAATACATGTAATTATAGATTGTAAATAAAATTTTTTTTGTTCAATAAAAAAAAAAAAAAAAAAACATTTAAAAAATATATATTTTTGATTACTTTGATACACGAGATTTTAATTTTGAACGAGTACCTATCTTATGAGTTCTAAGTATTTATAGTTATAAACCATAAATAACTTGCCCAAACATAGATTTTTATAAATCAAAAAAAGTACTTCAAATAAAAGTCAGCTTTAGAATATAAAGTTAAAAATTAATATTGTTCCAAAGAGTAAAAAAATTGGAAAATTATAAGGATAAAAAGTAGTCAAGAATATTATTTTGTAACAATTTACAATTATCTAAGAGAAATATTTTCAAAAACGTTAGTGTTTTATGAAATAATGAGTGTGTTATGTTAAAGGAATCACTATGTAGAATGTAGATGTTAAAAATTGTAATTCTGTTATAACTTTTTAAAACAAAATTTTAATTTTAAATTTTAAAATAAGTATCTTAATGTATTACTAATTGCTATAATTGTATTGGTATTTGTTTAGTATGTGACAGTGTGTTTAGTTTGTACATAATAATAAAATATTTAATACTAAAAAGGTAGTTAAACAGAATAGGAAATTAACTTTAAACAGGTTAAATACAATAGAACATTTTGTTAATACATTTCTTATAGCTATTAAAATTAGTCTAACTTGATGAGGTATTTCAGAACTAAATGTTTTGTTTAAACTTATTAATCAATAAAACATGGCCAAGAGAAACTAAAGCTTTTTCAAATAGAAGAAAAATGCCAAGAACTTAATTACTAAATTACTATAAAAAAATTAGATTTACTGAAGAGATCTATAGTATACATGTCAGCGCAAAAACCAAGTTGATTCGGCGAAAAACAATTATGTTTATTTAGAAAAGACATTAGTCTTATTTTAAGGCAGTTATCGAATTATTTAGAAACACTTAAAGTAAGAGCAATTGGTCTGTAGTTACTAAATATTTTGCAGTCACCAGATTTAAACTGTAAGAGTATTTTTATAGCTAGAGAGATAATAACCTGAAATAAATAATTTATTAAAAATAATAGAAATTGGAAAAGATATAGAATCAGCTTTCTTTTTTAAAATTAAATTAGACATTTCTGAAAGATCAATAGAATTAAGAAAGATAGAATCATTAACATAACAGTTTTTATTTAGATCATTCCAATTTAATTTTTCAAAGTTATTTTTATGAATATCATCAGATATTTTTACCAAAATTAGCATAAAAATGATTAAATTAATTTAAAATGTCAGTTTTATCAGTTAAAAGATAATTTGTTGAATTACTTACAAAACTTTATTATACAGGAGCTTCATCCTTTTTGGTTGAATAAGTGGCCCAATTATAATTTCCCGGTATTTTAAATATTGTTATGAGATAAAATAAATTGATTATTATATAATGAGAACTACGAGATTTTTTTATTAAAGTATTAAGTACCTATGTTTCTATATTTATTATAGTGCTTTTCAAGTACGAGATTAAAAGGTGGTTTCTGTGTTCCAAGTTCTTTAAGCTTTGGTATAATTTATGTTTGTTGTTAATTGAGACTAGTAGTTAGACTAATCCGTTAGTGATCCAAGCTTTAAGTTTTTTTTTAATTTTTAATTTAATTTTTAGAAAAATGAATTCTTTAGAGGCACTAATGATAAATTAATTTAACTTATCATTACATTTATCAACTAAAATATCAACTTCATCATCAATTAGGAATTATACTAATTAATTCATTATTTTATTAAATTTATAAATAAAATAAATAATTATATTTTATGTGATTTGATAAACTAAAATATACTTACATAGTTTTGTATCATGCAATGTATGCTTAAAAGCTGTGTTCCTAAATTCCTAGGCACTATTTTAAACGTCGCGTCAGCGTGTATTTCATCAATATTATTTTCTTGTACTGCACGAATTAGAAGTGGACAAGCAAATATTACATTTCTATTACCAAAGGCATCATTTACCCTACCTCTAAACAAAGAACTAGTACAACATGTAAATTTGGGTTTGGTTCATTATCAAAATATGCAGCTAGTTCATTCAATGATGTTGGTGTCCGAGGCAAAGAATTTCGACGTGCATGTCGCATTATACTTTCTGCAGTCTTCCATGGGTATAATGCTGCAGCAACATTATGCCTGTATATTTAATTGATATAAAAATATTAATTTAAATTGTTATTATTACCAATATAAAAGTATTTAAAATAATATGTCTTATTACCGTTGACACTCTTCGTCATATATATTTTTGAGAAGTTGTGTTTCATTTTTAGACCTTGTTTTGAGGACGTCTCTAAAAGCTTTAACCAACTCAACGTTATCTTGGCCATTGTGGTTATTATGTTCTTTTACAATTATAATTGAGCCATCCACTAACTTTTTAATTGACCCATCACAAAAATACAAAGATGCTTTTGAGCATTTTTAATAACTAAAATTATAGATAAGTGTTATTTTATTCAACACAAATTTTTATTTTTTTTAAATATAAAATTAATATATTTCGCTCTGCTCAGAAATTAAAAGTATTTATAAATATAATTGCCAATAGGCAATAGGTATATAATATTTGATTGAAATAAAATTTAAAATTTACTCTTTACAATAATTAAATTATTATTATTATTACTAGGTATGGAAATTGCGATTTGGAGCATGTTTTCGAAAATCAAGTTTTAGAATATGAAACTTTTAGAAAATATGTGTTTTAGATAAATGTGAAATGGTGTTTTAGAAAATAAAAGAAATAAATACAGAGTTTTTGAATAAAATACCGTCTTATTTTGTAAAAGAATTTACGATACAGAATGTAGAAATTATGATACTTTTCCAAATTAATTTATGAGAGCTATTGCTAATAATCTTAAGTATTAACAATTATTATATTTATTTTTTGTTATGAAAGAATCATTAGAAAACGTTTTATATAAGTTTGAGTTAACAGTAAAAAAAAAAATTTAAATATGTAAATTAATAGTCGATGATTTTAATTATGATTTAAATGAATTTATTAATTCTAAAAGTTTTATTTTCTAAAACTTGGTATTCTAAATTTCGGCATTTTAAAATATGACTTTCTAAAACCAGCCTCATTACCGAAATTGCATTCTACGTAATAAGAAAATGTCGGCTTCAAAAGTAGTAGGTAATAATAATTTATACCTAATACAAAATCCAGAGTAAGAATATTATAATATTATATTTCTATTATTTAAAATTTAAAATGTTGAGTACCTAGGTACTGTAATGGGATTACGCAATTCATGTACAACGCTCATAATAACAAGAACCACTTATGTGGAAAGCGGCCTCGTCGACCGCACCCAAAAGTGGTCATAGCTAGAATAGACGCTTCAAACCACAACAATTTCCCAAGGGCGCCTACATGCCACGCGCCTCTGAATTCAAAGGGCGTCGCCTTCGTATATTCGTATATATAGAGGCCAGGGCCCCAATACACATTAGATGTACCAGAGCCGCCAAGACCGCGCGAGCAGCTTATGCACCAGCCATTACACACATCTTACATGGAGATTATCGACTACTACAACGAGTCAACTCACGACGCTGCAATTCACCACGACTATATTAATTATTATTGGTTTTAATAAATTACAATTGATTTATATTTAAATTGACTACATTTTATTGTAAAAGTGCAATAGCTTTTGGATCCCTGAAGGGCCATACGTAACAGTACTTACTACCTCCAAAACTAAGTAGGTATCTAATCCAAAAATTAAATACTTTTTAAATTATAAATGAAACATTTTACAATTACATTAAATTATTTGTGTGTTTATTAAAATTCAGAATAAAGATTTAAGTACTTTCACGTTTTATTTGTTAGTGAGCACATAAGTATTAAAAAAAAAATGTCTTTAATTTATCATTAATTCATTATGTTCTTGTATGATATACTAAAGTGTATAAAACATAAAAAAAATAGTATAAGTTTATAATAGTACTTACCAAATTTCGTTCCTCTTCCCATTATATTTATAACCATCAGTGTGCTCCATGAGGTCTACACAGTTGGATATCCAAAAGCGGAATGAACACTGCTCAGTGGTCACTGGCCCATTTAAAACACTCGAAGAGTGATTACAAAGAAAATATGGAAAAGTACGTGAAACATTTTAGAAATTAATATTATCAAGAAAATGTTTAGTATTTTGATCAATATATATGACTAAAGGTACGTGTCATAGTGGTTGCGCGTGCATCTAATATATTCAGGGAAAGTTCAACGCCCAACAGATTTTAGATTTACTTAAACATTTGGGGCCTCCATACCTACTACTGGATTCTAAGAGACATTTTATAGGCATTTCTTATACATTTGGCAATTAGTTTTTGTATTAGTCATTAGTCGTAACTCGTAGATGACCGATTTTTCTAGAATCATTGGTAATATTTTACATTTGCAGTAGGTAGCAGTACGGAGGGATCTCGCACGCACATATTTTGTCATATAGGATCTTGTGATCGCGAAAAACCTTTATTTTTCATTCGAACAGATAACTCTTATTAATTCCAACAATACGTCGCAACAATTCGTTACACTAACGGCAATACATCGTATCTGCAAATTTGTCGAATTTTGGGTTTTGGTATCAAATTATTTGTAATCTCTTTGCGCGCATTTTATTTTCACATGTTTTTTCTGATATAATTGATAATTTCCCTCCAATTTAAATAATAGTGATATATCGTATCTCATTTGTACATGTGATAACATGTATCTGCACAATTGCACATAACCTTCAGCGAAGACTGTTTCAAATGCCTGAAATCAATTATTTAATATCAGGTAACTATATTATTACGCGTTTAGTAATTTATTTAAGTATTTATTTGATATTTAGAACAATATTTTTGCTATTAACAACTTAATTCATGCTTGGATTGTTACTTTTAATTTAGGTTCAGATACGTTATATTGACATAATCAACAGATACAGTTTTTAGTACTTACGTTGTATCACAGATCGATAATTAAGGTACTTAATCAGTTTTTAAAATTATTGAAATTTGTCTTAAAGTATACTATAATATTATTATATTTAATCAATTAGACCTACTGAATGTATTTTTGCTATTTTGTAGATAAATATGTCAAAACGAAGACTAAAAACAATTTTAGACTTATCATGTGGAAATAGTGGGAAAACAAATACAAATTTGGAGAAAAACATAAAACATGGAAATCAAACATTCAAAGATTTTTTATCTGCTGCAGAGTTTGTGTTTGAAGATTTTGAAACAGACCTGGTCAATTTGGGTAATGTAGATGTTGTAAAAAATGATGTCAATATGCTGTTACAAACAGAAAATATTTTTGATCCTGATAATACTCAATATTGTGTAGAAAATGAATCAAATGATGATATGATATTTTATGATGACTTACAATATAATGTTGAGTGTGAAACAAATAATATAGTTGACAATAGTTTAGAACTTAATTTAATAAACAATAAATTGGTTGTTTGTAATGAAAACTCACATAATAAATCATTAGATGTTGAAACTTTTAAATTAAATGACTTAAATTTCATTGTTGAAGATAATGAAGAAAATAATGTATTAAACTGCAAAAAGCGGCATAGTATAGTACCTCAGCCTGATAAGTGGAAAAGGGAAACTACAAAACGTTTGAGAATGAATGGTGAAGAATATATTGGGTATGAGAGAAAAAAGTCAGTAGTAAGTCATAATGTTATAAGACCGCCAAGAAATATTAAACCAACATGTATGTCTCAGTATTGTCAAAATGCAAAAAATAGATTTTGTAACACTTTTGACGAAACTCAAAGATTAGAAATTTTTTTAACATTTTGGAAAGCCACTTGGGAAGAAAAAAAAACTTTAGCGTGTAGTTTGGTTAACAAAATAAAAAAAAACGATCTACTAAAGGCAACAGTGATGATAGTAGACAACGTGTGATGTGATTATGCGATATCAGATATTCGATGTAAACAACTATACACGATATGATTTATCAATATACGACGCGCCACTTGTACGCGGCGATGGTACGACTACTATGACAACGTTACACCGATTCAACGCTTGTACGAATTTCGCTATAACGAATAACGATTTACGAATTAAAAACGATTTTTTAACGAGAAACAAGATATGGCCGCGATCGAAATACAGAATAAACTTACGAATTACGATATAGATGCCACGACGCGTGGCGGTTCGCACAAACGACTTATTCACGGAAACGAAATGAAATATATTTTATTTGGCATAAACTAAAACGAGTCCATGATATACGATTAATTTCTTTCTTTAATTTTCTTTTATGCACGATCGGTTGTAAACAACGCACTATTTGTAATTAAGATTCACAGGTTAACGATTAGCTTTTACGATAAATACTTTATTCGACCTTTATATTATTAATTTGAAAAAAAAAAAAAAAAAAAAAAAAAACGCACTCCGCGAAATGTGAACACGTGTTTTCAACTTAATACGCGGAACGCATCCTGCTCGAACGGACCATGTTATCTTTCGCAATGTTTTACGGTTGAAAACCGTAGGCAGGAATAAAGTATATTTAAAATGAAAACCACAGAATTTACTTTACTCGAAAACTTTTATTTTTCTTAAGTGAATATACATTTTAATGAGGGCATTTGCTTTCGAGCACACTACGAACAACATAAACTTAATATGGACTGTATGATAACGGTATTGATAATATTATTACTGATTGAAGTTATACTCGAAATCAAACACAGATGAAGATCAACATCAAACAATCAGCTTTATAAGTCGCACGTTAAACACAGCTGAAAGAAATTATGGGACCACAGAATTAGAGCTGCTCGCCATCGTCTTTGCTTGTAAAAAATTTAGAAACTACATACTTGGACACGAGACACACCTACTCACGGACCATCACGCCCTCACATTTCTGAACAGCTGTCAATTATTAAATTCTCGATTAACCAGATGGACGATAAAACTACAGGAATATCACTTAGTCATCGAGCATGCATCAGGAAAAGAAAACATTGGAGTAGATACACTAACACGATATCCGCAATCACCTGATGAACAGTTGGGAAAAGAAAAAATACAACTCACCATCAATCAACTCACGCTCATGGAATACAGTTCCACATTAATGCAACAGTTTGACCATCTACGAGAGCTACAACAAGAAGACACAAAACTGAAAAAGATCCTATTGCAGGTTGCCAGCAAGAAAAGTCAACACTTCTTCATATTCAAAGACTTATTATTCACAAAAAATGAACATGGGAGATATCAAGTGATGATACCCCAAACCATAAACCAATCCATTGTCAAAGAAACACATGAACGGTACGGACACATGGGCACCTTCAAAATATATCAGCTACTAAAGACACAATATAAAATAATTAACATGTACCGAACTATCAAGAGAATCGTGAAGGCATGTGACATCTGTCAAAAGGCTAAGTGCGACAATCAAGGAACCAGGGGACCAACCATAAGCATCCTCCCCGAGAAACCACTACAAATGGTCTCCCTTGACCTGATGGGACCACTGCCAAGGGGACAGAGAGGCGCAAAATACATCCTCGCAGTGCTTGATGTATTTTCCAAATTTATCCAGTTATACCCAATTAAAAAAGCAACATCCGCCACCATTCTGAGGAAAATTATCAATGAATATATTCCCAGGATTGGAAAAATCGACCAGCTGTTAACTGACAATGGAACCCAGTTCCACAGTAAGCAGTGGTTCAAGCAACTGACAGCCCTGGGGATCCGGATCAGACACACAACCACGTATCATCCGGAAGGCAACCCAGTTTAGAGAGAATATATTTAAATAGGGAGAATGCTTCGCACCTATTGCCACGCAAAACACACCAACTGGGTGAAATGGGTTCCAAAAATCGAGTATTGGATCAACCATTCATATCACAGTTCAACGGGATACAATCCACATCAGGTGTTATACGGACAAGAACCAGATACCACCATAGCACCACAGATACAATTCCCCGACAATGAATATGGACCCAATCAAGAAGAGATCATCGAAATAATCAGGAAAAGACTAAGAACAAAAGCCGACGCTAGAAACCGAACCAAAGACCACGAAAAAAAATTCATACGCTATCACACAGGTCAACGAGTTCTCGTAAAAGAGCATAAACTATCATCAGCCGAATACCACGAAATACATAAATTCTTTCTGCTGTACAGAGGTCCCTACACAATAGTCCAAACCACCGATAATAATACTGTACTATTGGAAGATTTGACTAAGCAAATAATACGGTGCAATGTGAAGAACATCAAATTGTACCATGCGGATCCGAAGAAGGATGAAGATATGTGTTTTCCTCCTGATCCAGGGAAATCCTGCGATCTATCATCCTCTGTATCCAATTAAATCCATATAAATAATTTGTGACCATGACTTATTCTCCCATAAGACACAAAAAAGTCATGTCACAAAATTCAATCAACTTGCTGTCAGAAGACTACACCGACGAAGAGTTCCTCGAACTATTCGGCACGGAATATTTGTCTCTCGACAGCGAGTATCAAGCGTCAGTGAAAAAAATAGACCCAGAGTCTTCAACAATAGAGAAGAATAAGGCCAAGGCGCAATATGAGAGAGAGTGCCGCTAAGTTGACTAAGTACGCCCTCGAGCCTACCTTCATTATTCCTGATACCATCCGTGCTCAACACATCACAGCAACAGCAAGCACGACGACCAGCAATGATCAGCCCAGTCAAACTATAACCACGCCGCCCTTGAGTAAAAATAAGATGAAGAGGGAGCAGTATAAACTGGCTAGACGGGAAATTCATCGTCAACGACGACCAACAACTAACAATCCACAAATATCGACACCCTAAGGAAAACAAAATGAATCAATATAAACCAGGACAAAATCGCAAAATTTAATGACACTAATCTCTTATTTTAATTTACTAATTTTCGGACTACATCATATCAAAATCATCATCAACAGAAAAATATTAAATGAAAAAGGGGACTATGTAACGAGACAGAACCATCTCATTACAATTTTCGCACAATAGCGCACATTCGTGAAGTATCATCAGCAAGTTCGAGCGTGACCGACGCACTACAAGCCGAATCCGCATGAACTATTTGTCGTCATTCGTCCGACCGTGAGTGCCTATTACGCGTACTAGATGGCGGGCAACGCCGGTACCATTTTGACGTGCGCGTACCAGCAATAAATACCAGTATAAAACTTACTCATACCAGTAAAGTTACCAATAAAATACACCTGAAAGGACACAGATCTCTAGGAGTACGTGTCCATACCAGAAAAACGTACCAGCAAACAACAACAAAGTAAGGACACACCACATCGCAGAGCTGTCACACGGAGGCAATGGTGATACCTAGTAAATAGACCCCGTGCAGCCAGCTACAAAATCATCATCCGCGGTCTATTCGCTACCGGTACTGGGGTTTACCTATATAGTAAGCACAAACAGCCCGGTCCGAATAGGCAGTCCGCCGCTCACTTGGCCGTGTCTGGTATTTGCATAAACAAATACAAACAGCACGGACAAGTTTCGCTCCCCGCCCGTCCATTTATTTACGTGTCTGGTGTTTACCTACAAAGGAAGCACAGACAGCACACATAAGTAAAATAACCATCGCCACCGCCGCCTATCGAGTACGTAAGCCCAAACCGCCGACCGATAATCGACACCGCCGTTATTTTGTTTTTTAGTTAATTATTCGTGCCTGGTGTTTACCTATAAAGGAAGCACAGACAGTCCGAATAATTAATACCGCCGCCTATCGAGTACGTAAGCCCAAACCGCCGACCGATAATCGACACCGCCGTTATTCTGTTTTTTAGTTAATTATTCGTGCCTGGTGTTTACCTATAAAGGAAACACAGACAGACCGAATAATTAATATTGCAGTTGTATGTTTTGAATGCCGAGTCTAGAGCCGCTACCCGAAAATCCGCCGTTGTCGTGTACTACGTATATTTTATTCCGAGATAATCGTGAATATCGTTGCCGCCGCGTACCTACTTATATATCATTGACACGGAGCAATTTGAACAGTTTTCGTACGCCGCCGTCATAATCACCGCCGCCGTAAAAGGTTGATTGACCATCTACCCGCCGCTACCCGCATAGTGCGCGATCGACTATCTACAATAATCGCCGCCACCGTATTTGAACATATACATTATCATTGCCGTCGTCCATAACAATAATCTTGCCAGAGACGCGGATTATTCAGTATCACCAGACCTGTGTAGCTGTTAAGGATGATTCACACTGAACCGACACTCGCAGACCGGCACCGGACCACACAGACCCGTACCGGACCGACAAATTATTAATTAATATAAAATAATATCCCAATTTACACTTAACAGACCGTCACCGCGCAGACACTAACCGCACCGTGCAGTACCGACAAACATTCTATAAAATAATGTTTTGTCGGTGCATGTCGTGTCTGCACGGTTGTCGTCTGGGCGAGGATGGTTGGGGTATGAAGGCAATAACGACGTTCATCTACTAAAATAGAATATAAAAATAGAATATAATATTAAATTATTATATTTATCACAATATTGATTCAGTATGTTAACAACCTTGAACCTATTTATTTTTTTGTAGTACGTATTTTATTAGTCAAGTCTATAACTATTTTTTTAAAAATGGACAATGAAATATGACTATTCGTTTAAGGAATCAATATGGAAGGAAATTGGACAAGAAATGAATCAGCCAAGTAAGTAACACTCCTATACTTCTAAAGTTAATTAACATTTATTTAAAATAAGATTCTTGTTTATTAAAAGTTATATAATTATATATTTTGAGTAATTTTATAATGAAAAAACTTAAAACCAATGTACCTATAGATAAATATTTATGATAATACATTTAAATTTAAGTAAAAAAAAAACCTTAAAAATTATATTTATTTTAATTCCTTACTAAACGGATTTGCATTCAACGATTTTTAAAATAACTTATTCCCATGGCAGTTGTCCTAAAGGTGAACAAATGAAGTCTTTAACTTTTTCTCTAACTTCAAATGCATCTCTATTAGCACTCCCTCCTTGTCTTGGAATCGGAATTATATTATGAACTGTATCTATTAATATAGGTTTTGATAATTGAGTGCTATTTCAAATATTTCCATGTTGTTTTATAAAATTATGTAAAATACAAGTAGTCATGATAATTTTGTCAGCATTTTTTGGTAATATTTTCATTCTTCTTGAATAAATACGAAATTTTTGAGTAAGCTGTCCAAAAGTATCTTCTACTACTTTTCTTGCTCTAGAGAGACGGTCATTAAATTTTCTTTTAGTATTATCAGCATACATTTGAGGACCCGGGTATGGTCTCAATAAATATGTTTTTAGGGGAAATGCTTCGTCGCCAATTATTGTAAACGGGGTTTTTTCACTAGTTCCCGGAAGTGGTTTTCCATCAGGAATATTTAATTTGTTTCGTTCAAGTGCTTTTCCGAAATTAGAATTTGAAAAGATACCTCCATCACTATTTCTTCCGTAAGCCCCGATATCAACTGCAATACATTTATAGTGTGCATCAAATAATGCCATTAAAACTATGGAAAATGTTTTTTTATAATTATAATACATAGATCCGCTATTTGGAGGTGCTTCTATAACAACGTGTTTACCATCTAACGCTCCTATACAGTTTGGGAAGTTCCAAATTTCCCAGAAATCATTAGATATCTGCTCCCAATTTTCTTTTTTTGGTTCTGGTATGTATTCTTTTAATAATTGTTTTATGATGGCTGTACACACTTCCACTAAAATTGAATGAACTGTTGAATGCCCCAATCGAAAACTAAAAGCAATAGTTTGATAGGAATCTCCTGTCGCTAAAAATCTATGAAAAAAAAAAGTTATAAAATATATTTTATTTTAGTTTATTAAATAATTATTAAATCAATAATTTTGATAAGTTTTATAAAAATTTTAACTCATAACGAATTTTGGACTCAGTAGATAGAATAACGATACGATTCTGATATTTTTTTTTAAGCACAAGAATGTAAAAAGTCATGGGCAAATTTAAGGGACGCTTACAGAAGAGCTATTAAAAAAAGTGCAACAGTGTCCGGTCAAAAAGCCAAAAATGTTAAAAAATGGAAATACGAATTGGAGATGGAATTTTTGAAACCGTACATGAAGGAAAGGGAAACAGTATCCTCAGTTGATACTAAAAGTGACGAAGAAAAAAGTAGTTCCGATTCAGAAAACGAATTAAATTATTCTAAAAACGAAATAAATAAATCTGGAAACATCACATTGGAAAGTATTATTTCACCTGAAGAAAATATTACAAATAGTACACCATCGGAACTATCTCCAAAATTTTGTAAACCTCCACCAAAGAAAATTATGACTCCCAAAAAAAGAAAAAAAATGAAGTCCATGTGAGTTCAGAATCTGCGTCCTCGCATTTGATGAGATCATCATAGAAAAAGAAAAGAAAGAAGAAGTTAAGGCAAATACAGAAAAAAATGAAATTAATGTGATTGATCAGTTTTTTCAAAATATATGTTCGACGGTGAAACAATTTTCTCCTTATCTCCAGCATTTGGCTAAAACAAGAGTTTTTTCTGTGATTTCCGAGTTGGAACTAGATCACATAAAATCTCAAAAACTGCATGAACAACAATATCAACAACAATACCAACAACAACATATATCGGCGTTGCAACCAATATATCAATCCACACAAGATTATACTGACGGTTCAATAAGTCACCACTCTGATTCAGACACATCATCAAACGTAGGTAACTTTTTAACAACATTCATACCTTAAAAATGACTATTGTTTTTTTTATTACTTATAAAGTTATAAATATTAAATTGTAGTTTTTAAAAATAAAAGCTGTATTTAGAATATACTCAGTTTCCGGTATGTTTTATTTTAATTGCATTTAATTGTTACGATTGTTCAAATATATTATTTTATATTAATATTAATTATGAGTTGAAAAAAATATAATGAATATTCATGTAATAATGTATTAGTAATTCTATATTGCCTCACCTTAAACATACTGCCAATTTTTGTTTAGCTGGTATCGCTTCTCTAAAGTGAGTGTTTTGTTTAGTAATATCATTTTTTATTTTTGATAAAAGTATATTAAACTGATATGAACACATTCTAAAATAAATAAAAAATTTTTCTTCGTGATCTTCAAGAGTTGTACATAATGTATAAAATGCACCATCTACTTTTCTCCGTTTTAAAATTTCATGCACCCAAATACGTTTTTTACCTTTTGTTGTTTCTTGTTCTTCTTCATCTAAAGCTATTGTCATCATAGCCAGATGCTTAGTAGACAAGTGTTTAAACATAGTTTTAGACAACCTAGGCTGGACTAATTGCACTTATACTAACTGCAACTTACTAACTGTACATATTTTAGTTATTACATATTACAGTTGTCTGTCTGTGTACGACGGTATGATGTGAATACTCTCTCAAAATGTCGGTCCGGTACGGGTCTGTGCGGTCCGGTGCCGGTCTGCGAGTGTCGGTTCAGTGTGAATCATCCTTTAGACGTGCCGCAGCCAACTGTCCAGTAAATCTACCAGCCACCCAACAACTTCATCGTCCGAGGATCACACTGCAGAACCGTGAGTCAAAAACGCAATACCAATCATTTTATGTAATTCCATCCTTGATACACGTATTTTTAAATGTACATTGCACTAAGCAATTTAATTGAAATATAAAAGAAAAAACTGTATAATTAAATATTCAAAATATTTCAATAAACGTTAATAAAATGAATGAACTACAAACTTGAGTCGCGTTCATTTCTGATTTATTACAATTTTAAATGAGTTAAAGTTTGGTTAAATTAATAAATCGATTTTTATATCGTTATTTATATACATAAATTTAATAAAGAACCAAAAGAGGTAAGTACCTATACTTATTGGTTTATACTTAAAATTATAAATTCAATATAAACTATATGAATAGGTACATCGTCTGTCGTACGATCACTCGTAAAGTTTTATGTGGGTACTTAGGTACACAATTGTCAACATAATATTCTATAAACACTATCCTAAATTATAATATGTGTATAATCAACACGTTTCTGTTTCTGATACCATTTTCTGTATTATGTAGGCACTCAGTTGACCTCGTGGTAAATGTAAATCACAAATAATGATTTATGGACCATGCGAGACTACTTGGCTATAACACTAAGAGTATAATAAGGTGATGTAGAGCAATTTAATTGCATTTTAGGGCACCTCTATTTAAACATTCAAATTTGGCAGTGATGTATCTACCAATCTGTATGTTTGAAATATGAAAATGAAGGTTAGAAAAGCAATTTTAGTTTGTCTAAAGATTCTGATATTGGTTTGTCGTAAGTCAATCGACAAATATTTTCGTTTGATGTATACTAGGGTGGTCAGATGTCCCGTTTAAAACAGGATTATCACTTTTTTGACTATCATGTCCTGCTGTCCCGACAAACTTCGAACGTGATGATTTTTATGTGCAGTGGCACTATTTTATTTTATGAGGCAAGTATAAATGCTCGACCACCACCACCTAAATTTTATCACACAGCCCCGTGGGCGCTTTGCCCCCACACCCCCAATTCACAATTCTACAACGATAATATACTTTGTTGTGTTAATATCAGAAATATAATAAAATTATTATAAAATTAGTATAATTAATAGTATTATACATTAGTTGACCATATTTATTTATTTATTTATTTATTTTTATTAGGGTTAAGGCTTCGACAACTTAGGTCATTACCCTGTGGTACTGTAGGGGAGGGTACTGTAGATTTGTTACACGTGTGTGTTTGTTTTGGCAGAATTTTTTATTTGGGGCACCCGTAGGTATTTGCCATGCCCGGTTGGGAGATGGCGGCACTTATTCTCCGTGACTTGCCCAAAGAAAATTGCCGCCCGCGACCAAGGAATCGAGCTGACTCCGTCCCCTTGACCATATTTCATATGTAGTTTTTAATATCCGTACCCGGGGGGGGGGGTACCACCACCTAATTGGTCGTGAGGCAATTGCCTCATGAAACACCCTATCACGCTGCCACTGAGGGGGAGTAACAACTGTACGGATTTTAGTTTCTTAACATGGTCACCCTAAATTGTCTACCGAATTTTTGTCGATAATCCATCACCCAAGGATTATCGGCAAAAATCCAATACTTAATAGATTTGTGCTGTAAATATTGATTTTTTAATAAAAAAAAAGATTAACCAATATTCATCTTATATTTTGTCGGGAAACTTATCTTATTGTTATAATATATAATTTAGACATTGGACATAAGCCACCTAAATAATTTACCATCATCGACCATTTAAATAAAAATTACCCTTTCGTCTCTACTGGTTTTAATACAATTTTCAATTTCAATACCTATTGATAGGGATCAGACCTAAAGTTAAAAGTACAATTTTCAATCAGTAAATTTTTTTTTTTTATGTGTATATAATTACCTGTAATTCAAATGTAACTATATTTTTGAACTCCTGGGCCCCCACACGATTTCTCTCGATGGACCCAGAAGATACGCATATATATGAAATTAAATTATTATTTAAAAAGTAGTAAATATTTTTTGCGTCATTATAAATTCAAAATAATAATTTTTATTCTAGGTATATTATACAATATACATACTGTGTAGTTCTGTTAATAATATTTACTTAATGTTTCAAATCCAGACAATATATAGTCAATAAATTTAAATTCCGCTGATTTCACTGTCCGGAATTTTGTTTTCAATGCATTTTATACTCCACAAATATAAGTTTCAATGTATTTTAATATGTTTCCATTTTATAATACTGTAACATTATAGTCAGTGATTTCATAATTCCTGTGGTTTTTTTCCGGGATTTTATTGGCATCCCGGAATTTTGCTTTCCGGGCGTTTTACGGTCAGAGTTATTTAATTCCGGTAAATTTACGTTCGGCCGTATTACTTTCTTTCGTTACTACGTTCCGTAAATTAAAATTTTAATTCGTTTTATATTCTACACAAATTATGTTCTAGTTATTTTACAATCCGGAATTTAATTTTCCAATTTAATTTTGTTCATTAATTTTAAGTTCTGTACAAATTACAGTTAATATGTTTAAATTCCGCTGATTTTACGGTCCGGGATTTCATTTTCAATGCATTTTAAACTCCTTAAATATATATTTCAATTTGTTTTAAGTTCCTGCCATTTTATAATACGGATGTATTATAGTCCGTGATTTCGTTATTCCGGAGGTTTTGTTTCCGTGATTTTACGGCCTCCCAATAAGATTAACATAATATAGATATAACATTATTTAATCAAAATTTATTTCAACAGTTATTTTATAACTACACCATTAATTAAATAAATTGTTCAAAGTTTAACTGTATTGAATTATTTATATATTCGATTAATAAGAAACGTTGAACAACTAAAAATGTAAATTAAATAATAATAAATTTCAAAAGCCAAGCAAGTAGTATATATTTGTATGTTCAGCCAGCTTTTCCAGGGAAAAAAAAAGTTCAAGGGGGGAATGTCCCCTTGGAGCACTCAGATTTACCGTGTAACAGATTGTACACTGATTGTTCACCAAATTTCGTCTCACGCAAAAAAATATTTAATATTTTTTTCTTTTTTACTCGTGTTGGTTACACTGTTTTTTTTATCTAAAATTTGATAAACAAATTTACAATAATTTTTAAAGTTGATTATTTTTTTTTATTATATTCAGTTACTAATGATCTATCGTTCACTCAAGTTGTGTCTCATTTTTCTTTATTTTCTCAAAGTTTTATTAAATTGTATAAGTTATTTAATTTCTTCAAAAATGAATTTTCAAAAATGCACAAACGATATCCAGTCATTGGTCGATCAAATACGATTCAATTCAACGCCAGCTTATCCAGAATTCTCTACATTTGTATCGAGGTTACGAACTTTTAGAAGTTTCCCTTCAAATACCGGACAGAATAAGTACAAACTCTCGGAATGTGGATTTTACTATATCAATCTCGACGATGCAGTTTAATGTCATTGGTGTGGAATAATTCTACAAAGTTTTGAAATCGGTGATAATTGTTTTATAGAACATACTCGATTCTCACCTAGATGTTTATTTGTATTGTTAATGAAAGGAAATCAGTTTGTTCAAAAAGTCTTAAGTAAATATTGTAAAACCGAAGTTATTTGTAATTGTGAAACCGGTTTGTACGATACCATTTGTTAAATCATGTTTTTTTTTTTAAATGTTTATAGTAGGTAGAAAAAGACAGTTCTGGCGCCTCAACCTGCTGGCAAATTCCTATACCCGTATGCTCAACCCATTACATCGTCTGCTCAACCCATGGTTGCTCTCTGCTCAACCCACTATACCTGTCTGCTCATCCCACTATACCCGTCTGCTCATCCCACTATACCTGTCTGCTCATCCCACTATACCCGTCTGCTCATCCCACTATACCTGTCTGCTCATCCCCCTACACCGTCTGCTCATCCCACTACACCGTCTGCTCATCCCTATACATTGACGGCTGCTGAACCCACCATATATCACACAAGTTAACGATGTACCCCCGCCACCCCACCACCTATGACCACCGCGCGTGGAAAATAATTTAAAAATTTATCCGCCGGACCGGGATTCGAACCAGGTTCCCTTGCATGATAAGCGACCACCGTACCACTGGGCCGCCTACTCGCATGTGTTTGAGAAGGTATATTCTATCTCATTTAACTGGCGTCTGCTTACGTACGCGAGGTATAATTTCCCCCGCCACTATACCATACCAAGAACCGCCGCGAACGCGCGCGCGAGCCCTCCGGTGCGTTATCACAGTGACTTTAACACAAAATAATCTACTGGTATATTTTTAACATTTTGTAGCTATCAAATACACCGAGACGGGTCTATTATAGCAATTTATTGAGCCCAGAGGAAACAGTTGACATAAAATTATGTTAAGTTCTAAAAAACATTTCTTTACACAGCATGTATATGATGACCCTACCTTACTACGTTATATACGACAATTTAAAAAATGTGACATTTGTGGGCGTCGCTTGCAGGTATGGACTAGTATGGACGAGTTAGTAAAAATCCATGGTTCTAGATATTATGAAGATGTATTAGGTACAGCAGAATGTAGGGAAGTAGCTGTTAAAATATTTAATATAGTACAAAATTTGTAGATAAATTAACGATGTATATACAGGTACTAATAAACGCTTCTTTACAACTATTCACAGCGTTATTTTTTTTTTTTTTCCCTTACGTATAACATTCTTCT